AGAAAATTAATCCGAACACAAATATCTTTAATTCAGTAATTAACACTGTACAGACGTTTTAAAGAGTTTTTTACATGACGTCACAATGTGGCGCCAAACAGCGCGTGCTTACGCATAAATTACTGCGGCGCTGTACAATGCCGTTTGGTAGCAAGCAAGGGGGATTCGTTACCATTTTCTTTGATAATGAAATTAAATAAAAAGGTTATTTTTTCGTTTTTCGTGAAATATGGTATATATTTTCACTCAACATGATAAAATGCCACATATTTTCACTCGCCGTACCGGCTCGTGAAAATATGTGGCATTTTATCATGTTTCGTGAAAATATGTTCCATATTTCACGCAAACGAAAAAATATCCTCTTAATCTTTTAAATTAATTTTTTTTTTTTATAACTATTAATTAATTACATGTAGGCCCTTGATGAGTGTGAAAATAAAGATGAGAATGTTCAAAATCTATTAACTATCTAACAGCTGTTTGCAAGGGAAAAATGCCAATATTCATCTGAAATACAATGAAACCCAATGATATGTAATGAAAGCAATGCCAATATTTGTCTCCAATGAAAGGAAAGCCAATATCGGTCCTCCTCAACATATGCAAAGCCAATATTGGTCCTCCTTAAAGTGACATTATGCCGATCCATTGGTAGATATAGAGTGAACAGGTGAAAGTCAAAATAAAAATATCATTTTACAATCATAATTGCTTTTAATTTTATAATTTACTTCACATGAAAGATAAATAACTCACTAGGCCCTGTTGAAATGTGTGTAATTATCCGTTGGAATGTATCTATAAAAAGAATGGGGCAGTCTTTTTATATACATGTATTTAGGTAGATTTATATTTTACCCTAAACATTTTCATAAACTATGTGTTGGTCAATCACTATTATAATGACTAGTTTATTGAAATACATAGTCAATTTGACAATGAAAAAATGAGCATAATGTCACTTTAACATATGCAAAGCCAATATTTGTCCACCTCAACATATGCAAAGCCAATATTGGTCCACCTCAACATATGCAAAGCCAATATTGGTCCACCTCAACATATGCAAAGCCAATATTGGTCCTCCTCAACATATGCACAGCCAATATTTGTATTCTATGTATGCAACACCAATATTGGTTGGCAATGATAGCAACACCATTATTGGTATGCAGTGAAAAAATGCAAATATTGTTATATAAACAATGCTAATATTAGTATAATATATAATGTTAATATTGGTCTACAATGAAACAATGCCATTAATGGTCTGCGATCAATTAAGCAATATTCTAGAGTAATTAAACAGATAGAAAAATACATATTCATACATCTAGATAAAACTGATAGTTATTTTAATATTTAGAATAATTGCAAGTGAAACAAACATTTAATCTGGATTATGAGTAAATTTAGCAAGTTAATAGAACAAAAGCATTAACAAGTGAAAATCCAGTAAAATTAACAAAAATATCATACATGTTGTATGTTGGGGGGTTAATGTTAGAATTTATATAAGTATAAAGAAACATTTCTTACTTCCAGGTCAATATATGATAAACTGACCAGTAAACGATAGAATAAACAAACAAAATACATTTAAAAATAGTATATTAGTAATAAATAGTATACAGTATAAAATGGAAATAGTTTATAAAATGGAAATAGTTTATAAAATGGAAATAGTTTATAAAATGGAAATAGTTTATAAAATGGAAATAGTTTATAAAATGGAAAAAGTTTGAACACCACCAAATCTTGAATCTATAATTTTTGTTTAAACTTAAGTGTAAAGATGTGTAAAAGTTTAAAGGTACTCTTTGAAACTTAAGTTACTGAACTTAATACCATTCCAATCTCATTTAAGCCTAAAAATAATTACTTGAAATATGCCCAATTAATCAATAACAGGAAATATTAGTGCATGTTTACCTATATGTTAATTTAACCCTATAAGATGATGAAACTCTTAACAATCAATGATACTTCAAAATTGTATTACATTTTTTTTTCCAAAATCAAAAAATCTACTTTTTGAACATGGCTCTCTTCACAAACAATCAACCAATCAATGGCTGTGTAACAACAGTGGTATACATGATAGTTTATATTCCTCATTCCTTCAGTCATAACAAATACATGCAGAGAAATTAACAATGTAAACAATAGTCATAAAAAAATAAAACACCAAAATATACATGTATGTACAAGAACAAACAATATCTACACAACAGTTATAACATCTGGAATGTCAACATCAAAATAATTCTTATATAAATGATAACTGTACTAAATTATAAAAGTTTATCATTTGCTATTGCATATCAGGCAGAATTTTCTACTGTTTTCATCAAAGTTAGAAAAACTCATTTTACAACTGTCGTGTAAGACATGATGATGTCATTCCCACCCTACATTTGTGAATGCACTGCATCCTTAGGAAGACCTCATTACATAAAGTTGCAACATCATATGCTTACAGGAAGAACAAGCAAATTCGTTGAATTTATATCCCCCGCCGGGTACTGGTTATTATTAACACAACAACTGAAGACATAAGGCTTTATTTATATATTAATCATGGCATAAACAGTAATATTCTTTGAACTTGATAAATATTCAGGGAAATAACAGAGCCATAACTTTGTGTTAAATAGATTCCATCGGCGGGGATAACAAGAGCTGTCTGTAGGACAGCAACGCTCGACTATTCTTAGTGCTTGATAGTAAAAAGTCTTGATAAGGTAAAATTTTCTAAGTAAACAAAAGGGCAAATTTTTTCTTTAAATCCATATTACAGTTATAAGCCTTGGAGAGACTCCTATTATGCTCTCAAAGAAGAGTAAAAGATTTCAACTTGTTTCAAAGCCATATGTCAATGGACTTTGAAAATATTTGAGGTATTACAAAAACTTGAACAAAAATTCTAAGTCGAAAAAGGGGCATAATTCTGTCAAAATGCATGATACAGTTACCTACTCCTGCCTACAGGTTTGGGCCATGAAGGTGAACAAGTGTGCAAAGTTTCAAAGCCATATGTCAATGGACTTTGAAAATATTTGAGGTATTACAAAAACTTTAACATAAGTGGTTACGCAGACGCCGACGCTCGGGTGACTACAATAGCTCTACTTATTCTTATCGAATAGTCGAGCTAAAAATGCCCTTAATGAAAGTGTATCAGTTTTTGCAAACATTTTCCAAAATATAATTTTATGTTAACTGCAAGAAAAAGAATCAAACACTGAATGTCGTCAAATTCAGGAATATCTTGTCAAAAATGGACTGCAGCCATGTATATATAATTATAAAACTATATAAATGTCACAATTACATAATGAAAAGTAACAATAAAAAATTGCAGTATTACAACAGTCAATATAATTGTATCAGGTAGAACTCACTTTATCCTATAGATATATAATACATCTTGTGTTTTTAGTGAACATGTTGTGAAATTTTGCACCCGTTACATACATGTAGATCTTTTCTACAATTCAAAATAGTATAATGTAATGTAATGTAATGAACTGGTGTTATGCATTTACCCAGCTTTAAATATGGGACAGTCCATTTAAATGATTTCGAAAAATTGAGCTACCAACAGTATAGAGCCTGGTCAGACTGTAAGGATATGCATGCTTGCCTGGCTCTATACTGCTGGTAAAGAATAGACACTTTCTCTTCTAGTAGACAGAAATGTTTTATATTTAACATCAATTTTTTACAAAATATCAACAAAGTCCTACCAATTTTTGCAACATAAGGACAAAGTCAACCAATTTTTGCAACCTAAGGACAAAGTCACACCAAATTTTGAAATAAATGGACAAAGTTACATCAATTTTTGCATAATATAGACAAAGTCATATACATGCATGAAATATTTCCATAAAAACCTCATAAATGCTGGTGGAAAAAATCATTTTCAATAAGTGTAATTTTAGTAAAGTAAAGAGAAACATTTTGTATACTTAAACAAATCTTTAATATCAAAGGTTTGTTTGTATGTTTTTTTTTTCAAAGATTCCTCAAATCACATCAACACCATTTAAACAACTGTCTCCTTTTGTCTTTTCTTTCTTTCCATCATATCAAAATATCTGAAATAAATGATAGAAGTAAAGATTCATATACTTATCAAAATGTTCCAAAAGCTATTTTCCCACATGGAATAGTCAAATAAAGACCATAACAAGCAGCTGGTTAAGTAAAATCATTTGAAACTGTACTAATGGTCACCTCTTTTCAGCTGTCACCTGACGTAATTGACCTCTTTGTGACACCCTAGATTGCTTTATTTATAATAAAATTAGATTTATTTTATAAGAAATACATAATATATTTTGATAAAAACTTGACCCTCCATTCAGCAGCCACCTGTCTTATGCAGTCAAAATAAATGCATCCCTTTGCTGGCTGCTTAAGACAGTTTTGACTGTTTTGTATTTCAGAAGCAGAGATCTGCCAAGAATTTGAAAGTACTGGGCCCTGGGCCCACTTGGTCTGAAAATGATGGGCCATTTTTACCAAAGTATGGGCCTTGGGAAAATAAGTAAACATTGACCAAAATAACTGTTAAAAAGTTTGTAGATAATTGAATTTCCCTGGTAATAAATCTTAAATCATATTTTATGACAAGTGGTTCACTTATAATTCAGTACTTTACCAATAATTAAAAATTATGCCTACATGGTAACTTTCTAACTAATATTAATTGCAGGCAAAAATGAAAATATTTTTTTAATGGCTGCTCAAAAATTTGATATGCAAATTTATTCACATAATTGCTGGTTCTTACTTGTAATGTCTTATATTGTGCATTATCCATTTAATTGTTCCTACTTTGCACCAAATGTCCCTTACCACTGTATATTGACGAATTTTATTGCCCCTTGTATGCCTCTGTGTAGACAGCATACATCAAAGACATTTGCCGACAGACCTTTTGATCATGAAAAAAGTCATGCACAATGTTTCTCTGATTGGTTAATCACCCTGTCAAACATTCTGATGACGAAATATACATCTTTTTTTACACTTCATCAGCCAAAACTTGCGTGAACTTGAGTGACCTTAGGGTTGATCAAGTTGAACACCTGTCAGATTATACTGTAACTTACAGCATTTCTTAAAATAGCAACACTTTTTTTTTCAGTTACCGATAATCATTTTAAATATTAAGTAGTTGTATAATTTGTTTGTTTGTTTTATTGGATTAAATTTACGGTAGTAGAAATGAGTATCTGTGTGGGAAAGGGATTATGAGAAGAAATGCGGTAAGTAGATAACATGGACAAAAGCTATAGGGGAATGGATAAACTAAAGAATATGCGTAATTACAGGAGCATGGGTAACATGTTGCTGTTGGTACCAGTTTTGACTGGATGACTAAATAACCCAGCAGACAGTTTTGTTTTCTTATAAGTCTGGCACAGATTTTTGATGCGCCCATGGCCCTTTGCTGCCGATTTTCCTGCGCCATTCTCATTTTTTTAGCGCCAATGGCGCAAAATCGCGTCCTCGGCAGATCTCTGCAGAAGCAATCAAATATCTGAGCAGAACATAAAATCATTGTGTTACATAAAAAATATAAAGGAAGAGATCAACACATTCCATGCATATTTATTAAACTTCATTAATTAACAACAATATTATCATCAGGTTCAAAATTTTACTATAAAATACAAAGTCAGTACATAATCTCTGTAACAGTTACTAAAACTAGAAAACAAGAGCTAGTTGAACTGGGTGATGCTCCCTGAATAGGTTTTGGACACAAGAAGGTTTACTGTACCTCTTGTAGTGTCAGAGTTATGTCACAGACAAAGTTCAAAGTGTAAAAACAATCCAAATGTCCAACAGTTGTAAAATCCGACTCAAATAACAAAATTATGGACTTGACACGATATAGCTACAAGGTCATGCTGTGACCTTGACTTTCAAGGTAGCAACCCAAATGTTGCGCGCGACACATCATCTCAATATGGTGATCCAACTTCAAATTTATATTTCAATTTATAGATATTATATTTTCTGTCAATTAATAAATTAGATAGCTTCCTCAGATTAATAAAATATGTCAAATTTTGATAACTGGTCTCAAGTATGTAAAATCAAGTGATTGTAATACCAAATTGGTTCTTCAAAAAAGTCAAGATATAAAATGTACATCACAGAAAAATCCTAAAGCAATTAAGTTTTCAAACTGATTGTATTGTTGAAATAATATGCCAGGATGCAAATTTTCAACTCTTCTCATATTGTATTCTTGTTATATTTACAATCAAGAAAAAAGGGATAACATCAACAATATACCTATCTATGATGTCATCTAACCACACCCTATGTTTTAAGGGCTCCATCCATGACTTGGGTACAGCATCAAGTCCAAGTTTACAGCCCAGGAGGGCACCTGCTACTCCAGCATTGGCATCAGCATCACCTCCCTGGTAGTCAAAAATAAATCCTAGTTATACTTCCCTTTAAAATTCTATTCAATATAATGACACATATATGCCATCTGTCCTAATCCAGTTCCTGATTGCATCTCTGTTAGCATTTAAAAGCATTAAAAGTCTGACATTTAGACATTAGATTTACAGACGCTTATCATTCCTCATGCAAAATTTGTTTGTTGTTTTGTTGTTGTTTTTTTCAAATTTATTTCTATTAACCTTTTGTTAAAGTAACATTGTAATTTTCTTCAAAGTTCTTATTATAAGCACTGTACATGAACTTCAAAGATTCAGTACCCGTAAGTCATATTTATATATACCAAAATGACTTTTATGACAAACCTTTACTTTTCTGTTTTTTTTTCTTTTCTTTTTTTTTTTTTTAAAAAGCTTTGATTGCCTGTTGATTTATTTTTTGTTTTAATTTTTGCTTACCTCATGAACAATGTCTTGTATAGCTTGTCTAAAGTCTTTCTGTTTGAGTGCCCAGAACCCAGCACCTAGTGCTTTATATGTGAAGTTAGAGCGTCCAGGCTCATCCAGACGTAAATCCTTCAAGGATGTGCAATACAGGTATGCCTTTAACTCTTTCATCTTAAACAAATATTAGAATATCAGACATTGGGGGAAATTATGAAAAGATTTGGGCCTAGTTATTAATCTTAGATCATAATTTTTTTCTATTAAAACTAGAACTGCCACTGTTATGGCGTGAATACCCTGCATACCACTTTGTCAGAATCAACAGTGGCCATTTAGAGCTCAAGGACAACCTCCCTGCCAAATCTGAGGTTGCTTGAAGCCAGTGCATTGCTAAGTTATGTATTCTACATGCTTCAAATCTGAAAATGTCAAAATCAATACACTGTGGACAGGCATTCTTAAGCATTTGAGCAGACAAACTTATCATAGTAAAAATCCCTGTGACCTTGACCTATGACACAGTCAACTAAAAATAAATAGGGGCCATCTACTAGTCATAAACAACTTCAATACCAAATATGAAGACTGTGGGTCAAAGGTTTCTTAAGTTATTGGGCGAACAATTTTTTGAAGTCAAAGTCCCTGTGATCCAGTGACCTCAAAATCAAAAGGGGTCATCTACTAATCATGACTAACATCCATGCCAAATATGAAGACTGTGGGTCAAAGGAATCTTTAGTTATTGGGCTGACAACCTTTTTTTTAGTCAAGGCCCCTGTGACCTTTGACCCAGCAACCTCAAAGTCAATAGGGGTCGTCTACTAGTCATGACTAACCTGCAGGTTAAATTTGAAACTGTGTGTCAAAGAATTCTTAAGTTATTGGGTCGACAAGCTTTTTTTAGTCAAGGCCCTTGTGACCTTGACCTTTGACCAAGTGACCTCAAAATCATTAAAAGGGGTCATCTACTAGTCATGACTAACCTCCATGCCAAATATGAAAACTGTGGGTCAAAGGAATCTTAAGTTATTGGGCTGACAAGCTTTTTTTAGTCAAAGCCCGAGTGACCTTGACCTTTGACCCAGCAACCTCAAAATCAATAGGGATCATCTACTAGTCATGAGTAACCTCCATGCTAAATGTGAAGACCATGGGTCAAAGGATTCTTAAGTTATTGGGCGGACAAGCTTTTTAAGTCAAGGTCCCTGTGACCTTGACATTTGACCCAATTACCTCAAAATTAATAGGGGTCATCTTCTAGTCATGACTAACCTCCATGCCAAATTTGAAGACTATTGGTCAAAGAATTCTAAAGTTATTGGGTGGACAAGCTTTTTTATTCAAGGCCCAAGTGACCTTGACCTTTGACCCAGCAACCTCAAAATCAATAGGGATCATCTACTAGTCATGACTTACCTGCATGCCAAATATGAAAACTGTGGGTCAAAGTAATTTTAAGTTATTGGGCGGACAAGGAAAAACCGATGGATGGCCGGACAGGGAGACGTACGAGCTGATTCCAGGATACCCCACTTACAACTTCGTTGTGCGGGGGTATAATAACTATTATGGTAGGGTGACAATCAGGGCCTAGAAAATGATGAACCTGGACAGTCATTGCAACAATGAATGTTATATACCAAAATGTTCATTAATGTCTGTAGTATATGAAACCACCAGCATAAATTGGCAAAAATGATGGCGATCAAAGAAATCCAAGATGGCCGCCAAGATGGCCGCCATCATGGAAAATTTTCAAGAAATATTCTTTAAGCTATACTTTTATTGCAAATTTTGAATTTTAACAAATTGTATCAGCCCTTTAACATTATTTTTAAGGAGCTTGCATTATTTTAAACTTATTTTGCTAGTATTCTGAATCAAGGCAGGGTCAAATTTACGGATAAAGTGAAAAATCATAGAAGATACAGTTAAAAAAAATGTATAAATTGACACCATTTTATTTATTATTTTAATTAAAAGAGATGCTTTACTATGATTTTTTTTACATTCTTTTTGAATAAATCTTTATCTTATTTCAAAACCTTTGAAAAACATTAGAAAGTTCACACATGTACATGCATATAAGAGTGTAGAAACAAGTAGTAACATTATTCGTTAACTAAGTTCTTTTATGTTGTATGGTGTACATAAACATTGATACATTTGCTTATATAAATGTAACAAGAGCCACCGCCGGGCGGGGGCAATGCTCGACTTTTTACTTTTTCTAAACGCAAACATAGAAAGGTTTGAACATATATTAACGTTTCCTTTTTATAAATTTAGTTGCTCTGTCTTGTCACATTAGTTTTCTTTATATATTTTGTATATATATGAATAGAAACATTAAGCATATTTCTAAAAATAGCAACAGTACGCAATTTCTTAAAATAGCAACATGACGCAATTTCTAAAAATAGAAAAAATGTCGCAATTTCTAAAAATACAAAAAAATGACATAATTTCTAATGATAAAAAAGTGACACAATTTCTAAAAATAGCAACAATGATGCAATTTCTAAAAATAGAAAACTTGACGCAATTTCTAAAAATAGAAAAAATGACGCAATTTCTAAAAATAGCAACAATGACACAATTTCTAAAAATAGAAAAAATGACGCAATTTCTATAAATAGCAACAATGACACAATTTTTAAAAATAGAAAAA